TTTTAGCATTAGGACATATCCACCAGAGATGGTAATAAGTGCCTGGTTGTTGTTTACATTTCCAACACATATTTGATACATTTTTAAACATTTTCTCTAATCTAACTGGTGTCATGTGCCATCTATAAAACATTTTATATAGGTTTTCCTTATATGCAGCTGCTTTAGTAAATTTAATATTTCGGTCCCATAGTTTTTGACATTGGCTTTGTTCTTACATCAGGATAAGCCACATATCATAGGTGATATGCCCCAAACCTTTAGGTCAACTTTTTTTCTAATCAAATCCCCAAATCTAATCTAGGCAGAAGATTTTTTGCGACGTGAAAAGAATTTGGAGGAAGCAAAGAAAATTATCATTAAGAAAGACCTCAGTCTCCCAGAGCCCAAATGTGTGAGTAACATCCTCAGGAATACAAAGTACATTGTGAACTTGCAACATGTTGGGGAAAATGGTACGTTTATGTATGTGGAAATTAACTTGACGGCACAGGGATAGATAACATGGTATCTGCAGACTCGGTCTGCCTCCATATTCCTCCCTACCCCACCAGACTCATTTATACTTTAAATTTATTTATTTATTTGTTTGTTTGTTTATATCTCACATTTCTAAACTGCCATCTTCTTCAAAGGATAGCCAAATGCTAGCCTCTGGCATCATTCATGTTGCAGAATTTCTCTGGGGTCACATTATGGTGGGAAAGAGTGTTTGTGAGAACTAATTTTGACTTTTAAATGAAAGGTTTATGGTTGACTGTGTCCTTTGGTGTATTTGGCATATCTCCTGTCTCGCCCATTTTATGAGTTTATTTACAATACCCACCCCAAATTCCAGATCTATCCTGGTCCTAGACAGTGGCCTACACCAAATTTTTCCAATGGGAGAGGTGAAAGAAGACCAATGTAATTCTGAATTGACTTAAGAGAACCACAGTCAAGTTTTCCCCAGCAAATTTTGGAATTGTAACTTCCAGAATTCCCAGCCAGGTACTGGGTTGGTGGGAGAATTTTGCAAGAAACTGAATATAAAACAGCCTCTGATCTTCTGGCACTCTCCAGGTGTCTAGGGTAGTTGAGGTGTTGAGATTGTATCTGATTTGGGAAGACTCTATACTAGAGTATATTTCTAGCTCTGTAGCTCTTTGTGAAGGTGAAAATCCAGCTATATTGAAAGTATCCTCAAGTGGAAAGTAATATCCTTTCAAATCAGAGTGCCCACCCCAGGGAGGACATTTAAAAAGTCAAAACTGCAGTTGAAACTCCATCCTTTTTAAATGCAGCCGCCATCTTGTCTCATTTTTTGGTTTTCCTTTTGTGGATGCCCGTTTGCAGATTCTGAGCTGACATGCTGGCAGTTACTCAGTGCAGATTAAAATCTACCCTGTGTTTATTCCCTAGAAATAACAGGATCTAGCCTTGATGGCATGGCTGGATGATCAGAAGGGATCTTGTGCGCATTGACTCAGAAAATTGTAATTGAGGGACTCTGTCAAATTCCAGTTGTGCAGTCTTTGCTGCATCATTTTGGCTATGTGCCTTCATAGAAGCTGCCAAACTGATCTTGTGGAAATTTAGAAAGTCCATTTACTATCTTAGCCATTTTTTTTCCAGATCTGGAGCACAGGCATAAAGTATATGTGTGTGTATGTGTATAGGGGGTGGCAGCAGTCTTTTTTTGATGAAGGCCAGTGATACGAGTGGTAAATCGATAAGGAGATAGAGTGAAAGTTTGGTAGTATCCTGGCGGACTGATTTTTTCCCTGTAACCATATGAGAGGGATATGCAGGTCTATTAGAAGAGGTTCCAGTTGTACTGTAGAAATTCCCTGATGCAAATCAGATTGATTTGCACAGGGAAGCCCATATCTCCATTATAAAGAAGATATCTGAGGGTAATATACACATCCCCCTAACTATAGTACACCTCTCTGAACTATGTTGTCACATTGATTTTTCTTAATGATTTTAGGGGGGGGAGGGCTAACCCAAACCCAAACCCAAAGTGGATTTCCATAGCAATGGGGATTTTTGCATGCATGTTACTAATGACTAATATGGCTGTTATTGTTCCTGCCTGTATAGTTAGTTTGTGTAATTAATGAGAGAAGTTAGCTGATTCCTGTTTAGGGCAAGTAGCAGTTGGAGCCTCAGCATCCTAAGCTTTGAATGGGGGTTGAATAACCTCTGGCTAGGAGAACATCAGTAGCACCAGATTCTGAATGCATCTTAGAAGATTCTGATGTCTTCTGGATTCTGAATTGGCAGCCTGTCTCTTTATATATTAAATTACCTGTCTTTTTACAGGTGAAGATTTGTGCCCTGGAAGCCTACAGAGGGGAGAGAGTAAAGGTGTTTGGTTGGGTCCATCGATTGCGTCGGCAGGGTGAGTACCATCTTGCACGGGGGAAGGGTTTTTCCAGAAGCTCTAAATGTTTTGATGCTCGCAAGTGTCACTCCCAACTAGGAAAGTGACGTTTGCCCCTACCAGCTGTCCTGTGGGCTGCAGGCATGATGGAATATAAATTGGAGGTGAATTGATGAGGGTAAATTGTCTACTCAGCCATATGGCAAGAAATACAACTTTCTCAAAGAAACTAATCCATTCAATCATAAGCATCTATATGTAGTCCTCACTTACTGATCGTTTGTTCAGCAACTATTTGAAGTTACGATGACACTGAAACAGGAGACTTAGGACCAGTCTTTGGAGTTCCATCCATTGTAGTGTCCCCACAACCATATAATTGTGATTAGGGCAAGTGGCCATCGGCACGCACTTATGACGGATGCAGCATCCTGTGGTCTCATGATCACAATTTGTGACCTTCACAGCTAACTTCCAACAAGCAAAGCCAATGGGGAAGCTGGGAGGAAGTTGCAGTCACATGAAATCCGGCTTACTGACTGAGTAATTTGCTTCACAGCCACAGCCAGAATTGACATAAGTTGGGGTGATTGTGTGATGTTGCAATTGATGATCACATTGCTTAGCAATGGAGTTGCAGGGCGCAGTTGCTATCCTTGCAAAGAGATGTTTTTTCCCCCCTCTTTGCTAAATGAGGCTTGCAAACACAGACTTGCAGCATAGAGACAATCTCCCCTCCCCCAAGAGGTTTAGCAAGTTTGGCATACAAGAATTCCAAATCAAAATGGCACGTAGAAGAGTAGGCAGGTGGAGTCCGAAGATTGGAGTTTGTAGATAAATCATTAGCCATTTTGGGTTCAAAGTCAGAGGTGTGAGTTTCACAAGTCAAGAGACATGGAGTGGGAGCTAATAAGTGGTTGTTATCAAGCAAAACTGTTGTTGCTCTGTTTTAATAGAAGCAGCCCTGGTGTAGGTAATTTAATGGGGTAGGACTCCTTCTGCATCAGTAGTCTTGCAGAGTGTCTGTGCTCTACTCTCTTTGCAGCCCGCCAAGCGCTTTGTTAGGATGGGGCGGTAAATTTAGGTCCTCATCGTCAGAGAACAATAGCAGCTGGGTTTGCTGATTACTGGCCTGGCCTGCCTGCTTAGATGGCAGTCCGTCTGGTGGTGCTGGAGCTGGTTGATCATTGTCTATCAGCCTTTCTGGAACTGGCTCTGTCTTCTTGTAATAAGTCTTCTTCAAATCAGAGCCCACCATGACAATTGCAGTCAATAAGTGAGGACTACTGTATAACGGTGTTTCTCAGTCTCAGCAACTTTATGATGTATGGACTTCAACACACAGAATTCCTCAGCCAGCATGGATATTTGGAGGGGGGGGGATTGAAGGCCACACATCTTAAACCTGCCAAGGTTGAGAAATAGTGATCTAGAAGATCAAGGGCTGAATGTTAAGCTGGGAAAAGATACTGAGAGGTGATCAGAGTTCTGTGAAAACAGTAGGAAGTAAATTCCTAGAAACTCTATCCACGGAATAACTGCCTCGTTATTCTTTCTGAACCCCACTGTTTT